AATTCCAAATTTATTTTGTTTTGTTTCTTCTGCCGTCGTCGTTTTCCCATAATGTAATTCATTATATACGCAAACATAAATAAATAAAAGAAAAATGGAGAAAAAAATGAAGAAACTTTCCGGTAAAAAAATAGAATATTCTTATATTTGGTTGAAAAAGTTTCCAGAGAAGTTTCCCAGAGAAAGTTTCTAAAAAAATGATAATTTTTTTCAAAATTCAATTTTAATGATGATGATGATGATAATGATGATGTTCAACTCTTTTTTTTTCCTTCTAAAAAACAGCAATTTAAGACATTTGACTTGAGGACTGACAATTACTTTAAATTCTGTGAAATAAATGAATGAATAAATTCAAAAAAACAAAAAACCAAACAGATGCTTTAGAAGAAAAAAAAGACAAAAACTACAAAATTTTGCCTGCAATTTAATATTGAAATTCTCGATTCTTGATTCTTGATTGCTCCAGATGTACGAAAAAAGGTTTATTTCTTTTTTGTTGTTGTTGTTGAATGTTTTGCTTTTGAGCCAATACCCAATTTATCAAATAAGATTTGAAATTAATCTCTTTTTTTTCTTCTTCGAAAATAAACAGAATTTCTATTTGTTTGTTTTTACAGAATCGTGTTTGTCGCACGATTCACTTCTGTGTGTGTGTGTGCGACAAAAACAACAACAACGACAAATCATATGATCATCATCATTATTATTTGAAAAAAAAAATCAAGAATCAATTTGCAATTCTTGGGAGGGAGTAAGGAAAGAAGAATTGGAAATCGGAGAAAGCAGTGAAAATGAAAAAATTCTTCAATAATCTTTTTTCTTTCTTCAAACATATGTGTGTGTGTGTGTTTAAACTTGCATAACTTGCAAGAATTTTTTTGATTCTTGATTCGTGATTCTTGATTTTTTCTTCGTCATTTTCTTTACGATCCTTTTCAATGATGAGAAAGTGTTTTATGGAATGAAAAAAAAGAAAATTCAATCCATTATTCATTCATTCATTGATTGTTTACAAAGATGATGATGATAGATAGATAGATATCTCTGGAGAATTATTTCCTACTTTTTTTACGCATTTACATAACTCCTGATTATCATCATTATAAAAGAAAGTGTTTTTGACAATATCGTTTTTTTTTTATTCTTAACACTTGAATAACAAATTGGGAAGGGGGAAAAAAATGAATGACTTTTTTTTAACACGCACGCATACTTTATGATCATTATTATTATCGAGCAACAACAACAATAATATCTCATTTAGGAATCTATTTATCTAATGTAGTTCTTTTTTATTAGATTGCAAAACAAACAAATAATCTGCACTTGACATAACTCTCTCTCTCTCTCTCTCTTCCTCCGTTCAATTGTTTTTCTTGGTGAAATTTGAAATCATTTTCAGCAAAAAAACCGTAGCTATAATTTGTCAAAAAATCCAAACTGATGAAGAAAATTGATAACGATGAGAAAATTTATTCCGAAAAAAAAATTTCTGGAAATTTTCTTTAAAGAAAATTTCTTTTTTTTTCTTAATTTTTCATTTAAATTTTGCACCAGAAAATTCAATATTTGACTTTCCTTTCATTCGTTTTGTTTACACGGAATTTCATCTTTTTTATTTTTGTATTTTTCTATAGATTAAAATGCGCACACATAGGCTCTATAATTTTACAAAAATGAATTTACAAAAATTTACAAAAGTAAAATTACAAACAAACAAAAATTTAAATTAAATTATCTAATTTGTTCAAATTGAGTGTTAATCTACTTTAAGTACGAGCGGGTTAATTTAATTTGTATTTATTTTTTTTTTCTTGGTTGTAATTTTCATCGTCATCTCGCTAAATTCTTTTGTTTCACATTCATTCGTGTGTGTGATTCTGTTGAAATGAAAAATTCTTTCAATCAAAAAAAAAAAAAAAAAAATCCCTTTGAATCTCGTTTAATCTACCTATCTACTTACCCGTCCCACACACACACCAAATTTGATAGTTTTTCTTTCATTGGAATTTTTCAAAGTTGCTCTTTTCCTTTTTTTTTCGTGACACCAGAAAACGCAAATTGAAAGTTTTATTTTTCTTCTGTGAGAGTTTGTTATCAGCGAAGAAACAAATTTATTGCTTCTGCTGCTGCTGCTGATGTCAAAAATCTATGATAATCGTTGCTTCAGGGCTGAATGATATCGGTTGGCAAATCAATAATCCAGAAAAACGATTTAAGTTTAGTTTAGTTTAAGTTATTTCTTTGTCGTCTTGTAACATCGACAACAGAATCGAAAAAGATCAGAATCAGAATCGAAAAAAAATCAGAATCGAAAAATTCCTTTGAGCGATTCTGGTTCTGTTTTTTTTTTTGTTTCGCCATTTCTGTTTCTGATTCATTCAATCGGAATAAAATAAATAAGTAAATAAGTAAGTAAGCAAAAAATAAGTTTTACCTAAAAAATCATAATCATAAGTTCTGTACATGTATCAATCGATTATAAAACATTATTCTGTTATGAATAATAATGTTTTTGTTTTGTTTCACTAAATCATCATTATTTAATCTAATTTGCATATCATTATCAAACAACAACAACAACAACGACAACAACAACAACATTTTTTTTTTTTGACAAATTTTATGGCAAAAAAATCAGTATGTTTCTGTTGACAAAACAAGAAGAAGAAAAAATCAATCAATCAATCAATCAATCAATCTGATCGATAATAAGAATTTGTTTTCATTTTATGACCATCATCATCATCATCATCAAAAAAAAAAAAAAAAAAGTTTTCAATATATAATTCAATGAGAAAACAAAACTGAAAGGAAAATCAATGAAAGTAAGAATATTTTTTCATTCTTCTTTAGCTAATGTTTAGTGTTTGTCAATTTTTTTTTTGCTCACACAATCATCATATCAGAATAAATATTTTTGTTGTTGTTGTTTTGGATTTCAGATCATTTTCAGCAAAAAAAAGTAAAAGCAAAGAGAGAGAGAGAGAGAGAGAGAGAGAGAGAGAATATTTGGAATGAGAAAAAAAAACATTCACATTTTATTTGAATCATGCAGCCAGAAAAAATAAAATCGAACGAATGATGGAATAACAATCTCTCTCTCTCTCTCTCTCTCTCTNAGAGAGAGAGAGAGAGAGAGAGAGATTGTTATTCCATCATTCGTTCGATTTTATTTTTTCTGGCTGCATGATTCAAATAAAATGTGAATGTATTTTTTTTTCTCATTCCAAATATTCTCTCTCTCTCTCTCTCTCTCTCTCTCTCTTTCCCTGATGAATATAAATATGAATCTTACATATATCATAATCATTATTATCATGAATGAATGAATGAATGAAATGAAATGGTCGAATGAAGAAATAGAAAAAAAAAGAAAATAAGAAAATCTATATATTTAGTTATTTATTGAATATTTCTTCGCTATTTTTTATTCATTATGACTTGAATTCTATTTCATTATTCTTTCTCTTGAGTCTAACTCGATATCATTCGTCCGGAAAATATTTTCCATTCGGCTGTCATTTTTGTTTTTTTTTTGGATTCTGTAAATGATGAAAATTTTTTTTCTTCTTTTCAAACAAACAAACATTCAGAAAAATGAATGAATTTTTTTTCCCACAAACAAAAATCAAAACAAACGAAAAGAAAATGACAAAAAATTTGCAACTAAAATCATTATCATCAATATTGCTTTTAGGCAATCATATCTCAATCTACTCAACCTCGATTTGTTCTGTTTCTGTTCCGTTGTTTCATTCATAAAGGACGAACCAAAAAAAAAAAAAAAAAACATTCGAAATTCTTTTGCTTCTGAAATTCTTTATTTATTTATTTCATTTTCTTATCTCAAGTTTTTCTCAAGTTTTTCTTTTCTATTCTTTTGGCTTTTTTCACTTGATTCTGGTTAGTGTTGTTTTTTTCCCCTGTGCGTAATCCGAATATTAATCTATTAATGTCATGATAATAATAATATTTTTTTTTCTTTCTGTTGTTGATTTATGATATTTACAATGTAATCATCATCATCATCATAATAATGATGATGATGATGACAAATCAATCGATATTAATGTTTTCTTTTTCTTTTTTGGTTCAAATAGCGTGGGTGTCTGACAAACTATCTTGATTTCGTGTCGATTTATCATCGTTGAGAATCACCAAAGAAGCGAAGAAGAAAATCATCCAACGACGAAGATGATGGTAGAAAAAAGGCCAAATTCAATTATGAAATAAACAACAACAACAACAACTAGAAAACAAACATTATTCTGAGATCAAAACAGAAGAGTAATGACTTTTTTTTTCGTTTGTTGTTGTTGTCAAATTCATCATCATCGACCATATTGAAAATCGACCAATTTTTCTGCTGTTTTTGTTTTTGTTACGCCAGAATTGTTTTTAGCCATTTTTCATAATTTGGAGAAAGAGAAAACGAAACCATAAATGTTGTTGATTTGGCAAGAAATTTTCTATAAAAAATACACAAAATGATATCATTATCGTCGTTGCTGATGTCGAATCTTTGCTGTTGCTGTTGCTGGTTATTCGATAGCCATTATTCAACAACCAAAACAACAATCAGGAAAAATCATTTTTCAATACAGAAATCAATTCGAAAAATCCTTGCAATTTTCACTATTATCATCATGATTATTCGGGCGATTGATGCCAAAAAACCTGAAGAATCAGAAAAAGAATCATCAGAAAAATTATTATTACGAAAACAACAACAACAACAACATTATCATTTGGGAAAATTAATCCTAATACCAATATTATTGAATGATAATTATACGAAAATAATTGAAAATTTTAACAACAACAACAACCATAACAACAACAACAACAACAACCATAACAACAACAACAACCATAACAACAACAACAACAACAATCAGGGTGATTATAAACTGAATTATAATGATAATGATTTATTATTTGTAAATAATTTGATCGATAATTTGATCAATAATAATCATCATTATCAAAATAATAATGATAATAAGCAAATCGACAATAATAACAATTTTGATGACAACAATTTTAACAATAATGACAATTTAAGTGAAAATAGCCGCCATCATCAAAACAAAGACATTACATTACATTTTTTACATTGTAAGTTTTTATTTTTTCTTGTTCCATTCGAATCGATTAGTTCATCAATCATATTTGATTCTTTCCATTTTCTCATAGCTGACAATAACAACAATAACAACAACAACAAAAGAAATTACAGAGAAATCAATGATGATGAACGCAATGATCTGCAACAACAACAACAACAACAACAGCAAATTCAGTCTACTGAATCGACTAAAACAACAACAACAAACGACGATAACAACAACAACGATACAATCTTAGTAACAGAAGAAGCAACGAAACAATTATTGAAAACTAATCAACAAAAAAATCAATCAATAATAGCTATGGCTATTGTTGATGATATTGTTGATGACAATGTTCTTGGTGTTGGTGGTGGTGATAATATTTTTGACACTTTAAATAATCATTTAGATCAACAACAAAATGATAGTTTAATAACGATTGGTCCTGATATTGAATATATTTATTTTCGGTAAGTATTCTGTTTGATTTTTGATTTTTGATTCTTCAGAAAATTCATTACAGAATCTGATTTTTTCTTGTTTTCCATGTTTTCCATGTTTTTCATTAGTGATGGAACAAGATTCTGGGTACAACGTGTATTAGTACCAATAATAATGATTATTGGTATTATTGGTAATAGTATAACAATGATTATAATGACTCGTCGTCGTATGCGTTCAAGTACAAATTGGTATCTAGCAGCATTAGCTATATTCGATATGATTTATTTAATATTTACATTTATATTATCATTGAAACATTATCCAAATGCTCATTCAATTGATTATTATTTATATTGGAATTTATTTCCATATTTTACAATGATTGCTGATGCATCTTCGAATACATCGGTTTGGCTTACAGTAACATTTACAATTGAAAGGTAATTTCTTTGATGTTTGACTTTTGACTTTTTGATTTTTTTTTTTGATCTTTTTTGATTCATATATAGATATATTGCTGTTTGTCATCCAATCAAAGGAAAAGTAATCTGTACGGAATCACGTGCAAAACGTGTTATATTATGTGTTTTTATTATTTGTTTATCGGTTACATTACCAACACCATTTGAATGGATTATTGTTGAACGTTATGATAATCAAACAGAATCCAAATCATTGGAAGCAGAATTTTCTGATCTTGGAAATAATCAAACTTATCGTAATATTTATTATCATATGACTGTATTTTTATTTGTATTATTACCATTAATATTATTGGTAATATTTAATTCATTTTTAATACGTTCGGTACATATTTCAAATCGTGAACGTTCACGTATGGTTATGGGTAAAGGTAATAATGTTTTCATATCATATACCTGTTGTTTTTTTTTGTTATTTGTTTAACCCTTTGTGTGTTTCATTTGAACAGAAAAACAATCTAAAACGAAAAAAAGTGCATTAAAAACATCAACCAACATGAATTCAAATTCAAATTCAAACAATTCAACACCGAATATATATGTGCCTTCAATACCAAGTGCTACAGCAACAGCAATTGCAGCATCATCCTCTCGGCAAGAAATTCGTATAACAATAATGTTAATAGCTGTTGTTATTCTGTTTATTATTTGTCAAACACCAACCGCTTGTATATTGGTTTATACTGCATTCAATCCATATGATGATCAATCAAATCAAGGTTGTATATTGGTTGCATTAAGTAATATATTCAATCTATTGATGTCAATCAATTCGGCCGGTAATTTTGTATTATATTGCCTATTATCACAAAAATATCGTCGTACATTTGTCAATATGTTTTGTCCTTGTTTAGCACGTAAGTAAAACGTTTTTTCTTTTCTTCTTATGTTTATGAAATTCCTGATTTTTCGAATGAAAATCACTGTTTGTGTTTGCTTAATTAATTACAATTGTCACTATCATGACTTCTGTATCGCTTATTTCCAAAGGAAATTACAAAAAAAAAATTATTATTCCGATTCTCGAATGATAATCCTGATAATTTTTCTCTATTTCTGTATTTGATTTGATTTCCTATTCAATCATTATTTTAGCAGAAATAATAAAATTGTATCGTAGAAAAACATTACAAATATAGCCAATATCAGTAATAACATTACATTACATAATTTGAATAATAACATTTGGCTTAATTTATGTTACTTTTTTCTTCAATCACTTTCTAATATCAATTCATAGAAACACTAAAAACAACAATAATAATAACAGTGTTTTTATTATTGTTTTTCGTTTTCAATTTTGAATAAAATATAAAACATTACAAAACATTATAGTCAAAAACATTATAGTCAAGACATTATAGTCAAAAACATTATAGTCAAAACATTCATTTCATTTGTTTTGTTCGATTACAAATTGATTATTCTTTTTTTTCCATCAATTGATTCTAATCGTCAATAATAAAAAAAAACCAATTATTATTATTTTGTATCAATTTCCCAAATCCAGAATGATGACGACAATCATATCATTTCATTTTCATTTTGAATGTTTTTTTTTTGTTGCCATAATCAATTTATAATCAAAAAAGTAAATAAAAATGAATGAATGAATGAATGGGAAAAAAACAAAGAATATTCTTATGATGATGATGATTTCGGCCGAAAGCCATGAATAAATAAAGAATTTTTTTTTCCTGTTTCACAAATGTGATATTTTCATTTACACTTTATTCATTCATTCATTCATAATTCTGTGTTTTGTTTTGTTTGGAATTCTGTTAATATCAATTTTTTTTATATCTTTTGTTTATAACAGAATTATTATTACCATCATCATCATTATGATTGTTTGTTTTGTTTTGTTTCAAATTGCGTTATTCGAATTATATGAATAGGCCCTATAGTCAAACAAAACAGAAAACATTTCTTCCTGATGATGATGATAATGAGAATGATGGGGAAAAAATGATAATTTTTATTTAAATTTTGAAAATATCAAATGTGATGAATCGTCAAATGTTTGTTTGGATATTTTTGATTCAATCTTTTAATTTCATTTTTTCCATTTTTTTTTGATTTTATTTTTATAGGCAAATTTTGTCATTCAAATATTTATGGACGTTCACAAATGGATCATTCAGTAAATACAACAACAACAACAACAACAGCAACACGTTCAACAATTAATAATCGTCATAATAATAATAATAATAATAATTTTCATCATCATCGTCATCATCATCATCATCATCATCATCATCAACAGCATCAAAATCATGATAATAATGATAATCAACAACAACAGCAGCAGCAGCGAACATCATTCAAATCATCCACGTCCACATCTACACCATCATCATCATCAGCAGAAAATACATTGATTGAAAAAAAATCCAATTCATTTGGTAAAAATATTAATATTAATGGTACTAATGGATCTGCGACAACAGCAAAAATCGAATTGAATCGTCATATTGATTTCGAAATCAATGATTCAAATAAACAAAAAAATGATGATAATATTTTACCGAAACAACATCATGTACATTATGCAAATGAATCGATAACAAAATCATCATCATCATCACCATCATCATCATTAACACCATCATCACCATCATCAATTGTAACATAATCCCATTGATAAAATCCCCGTTATAAATAATAATTACTATTATTATTATTATTTGTCGACATTTATAAATAATGATTGATTGATCGACAAATAAACATTGGTAATTTTACAAATGAATTTAGTTTTTTGTAAAAACTTATAAACTTATCATTTGTAAACTTATCATTATCTGGTTTGACAGCTAGATATTTGGTCATCATAATAAACATCATTTATCATTGTTGTTGTTGTTGTTGTCGACAGAATGTTGATGTTCAACAACAACAACAAACATCACATAAAAAAAAACATATCTTGGAATGATTGAAATCAAACTAAAACATCACCACCATCACCACCACTAATAATTATATATTATATTTGACATTTGGATTATTGATTACTTTATTTTGTTTTTTTTTAAATTAATATTCTCTGCATCAAGATTGTAGATTTTTTGTTTTGTTTTTTTTTTCAATTTTTTCAAATAAAAATTTTAAATTAAAAAAAATATATATGAAACCATTGCTGCCATCTTTTGTTTACGGTTGTCAATTAATGATAACAAAGATGATACAAGATGGCGCTATAAATACTTGTTCGAATATTCTGGATGCAACAAGTTTTTTAAAAACAAAGCAAATATATGCAATAAAATCATATTAAAAAGTTTAACAATTTTAAAATTTATTTTTTAAATAAGATTTTGTTGTTGTTGTTGTTGTTGTTAAATATCATCATTATTATAAAGTATATTATGGGTGTAGGTATTTTGTGACAATGTATGTGTGTGTGAGTGTGAAGATTGTGTAAAGATAATATATGAAGGGAGGGAGAGAAAAATCAATTTTTGTTGTTGTTGTTGAAAAAATATTGCCGCCAAACTTTTGAATTTTTTAAAAAAAAAACATTTAGTTTTGGTTTGAATTCACCGAAACAAGATATTAGGTAGAGAGAGAGAGAGAGATGCTTGATGTATTATAAAGACAACTATTTTTTGTTGTTGTTGTTGTTGAATGGGTATGTTCAAATGAACAACGATTATGTAACAGCAGCAGCAGGCAATAAAAGATTGTTTT